ACATAAAGGGTAATTGGTTGTCGGCTGGATAAAAGCCCTAGAAGAAAATCATAGTCTCCCGTGCAAAATTGGCATACCGTATCTCGGTTATTTTCTTCGTGCTGTTTTTTTTATTACAGTGTCCTGATAACGGAGGACGTAGATAAATCCAGTAGTAAAATTTAGATTTAAAAAAATCCTTCAACACGTGGCGTAGCCAGAATTCATATGTGTGGGTCCTTGATACCGAAAAATAGAATGACGACAAAGCGTCTGTCCCTCAGTCCGTGAACAACGCTGGTAGTTAAACCGTCCAGCCGATTATCCCCAAAATTGATATTCCGCAATCCATCTGGTTTATGTCACGGCCCTTTGAACTTGAATTCGATATTTTAATTCTGGGGTACTTTATATGAAGCTCCGTGAACATTCTCAAAATTTTCAAAAATGACTCCATCGTTTTTGATTAAATTTTGTTGTTGGAAAGTGTGAAGGACGTTTAAGGGAATGGTAAAGGGTCATGTATATAAACCCTGATTTTTTTAAAATTGCAGAAGTTACAATTTTTTCAGAGTCTTCCTACACATAAAATATTAAAGATAGAGTTCTCCCTTAATGAAATTTGTTCCTTTAAGACAGATTTTGATAAAAGCTCATGATCAATTTTTCGAAAATTTGAGTACTTTTTGCGTACTTTAGCATGAAAATGTGGGTAAACAAGTACGTGCCGATCCTGTATTTTCGCATTTAACACCACGTTCGATTTTCCAGTAGTTTATTTCACACCCTGCACACAATGACGATGCTGAAATATTGAATTTGTAATGATGTATTTGCTTCCAAAGAATTACTTTAGTACCAACGTTTCCATTGTGTTCCAGATATAATATTTAAAATGTTAAAAGGTGATAGATATGAAACCTTATTTTTAAGCATAAGGCAATATGTCGGATAGTTTTCGGTTCAGGCTGTATAATGTATACCCTTATTTTACTTTTAAAATGTTTGATTATGACTTTAAAAAAATAGAATCTTGAATCCATGTAATCAAGAGAAATGTGTGTAAGATTATCTTTACTTTTCTGTAAATATTTTTTGTAAATATGTGATTTAAATACTATAACAATTAAGATTTATTCATGTTTGTTTCTTTTGTAGAAGTAAGAAACAACTACTGTTCCTGTCTATCGAAATAATTGCAGAAAAGCACGGCAGACCCTTCATTTGAATTGGTAAAGATTCTGTCAAGTCATGCCTGAAGTGTTAGAAGTACAGATATAGCAATATTATAATACTAGCGTACCCGTAATTAAGATTGAAAGTTGTTATGAAACGTGTTTATTTGTTAAAAATGTATAAATTAACTTCCTACATACAGAATACGAAACAAAAATAAAAATAATGCAATGGACGTTGGAAAACAATGTTCAATAAATGTTTATTCAATATTATAGAGATATGCATTTCCAACAATTTACACTTCAATAAAAACAACATTTGAAATAATTATTTAATCTTCCTTGTCAGTTAGCTTTTCGCTTTCCTGAATTGCCACAAAAATATTAGAAAAGGTTTTTATGCTCGAGAAGGCCAAGTAATGTTTGCCATGCGAAAATACTGGATCGGGCAACTACAACCTTACTCTTCGCAATATTATTTAACTTTCCGGGATTCGTTATGAGGTAGTTTTGGAGAGGCAGGGCGCCAGTTTGTTGGCGTGCGTAAATTGAAAAATTGTATACTAAAAAGCAATGGATTATTTTCTGCGTAGCTGAGTGCTGCATGTTGCATTTGACATGAATATTTAAATACTTTTTAAACAAATCCTTTTTTATTTTTAAAACCATTTTAATTGCAATTCAAAGTGCAATTCGTCACGTTTCCGTGATAGTCTCTTTCCTTATACACATCATTTATAAGTATCGGTTGCGAGTGATTTTCAATTTTCTTTATATTATAATTTTCACCGTTCAATGTACCTTTTCTCACAAAACTATTCAAGGAATTGCTGTATTTTTAATGAACTAAATTCAAACAAAAAAAATGTTTTCGTTGATTTTGCTTTCTCCCAAACCACTATAGAGGAAGTTATGTAAAGTTGCCGCGAAAAACGATTTTCCGTCCGAAAAAGTCGAATTTATGTCTCTGTTATAAAAAAAGGAAACAATTCTTATTCTAATGTGTAGTAAATTACTTCATCTAACACTGTATAGTCAGAAACCATGTTTTGCCGATCGTTGATTTCGAAAAATTGGTTAACAGCAAAATGTTCGTCTATATGTCTATCCGTCCGTTTGCCTCTCCGTCTGTGAACAAAACTAGTGGCTCAACCGTAGACAGAATTTTCACCAAAACTGATATTTTCTTATCTATCTGCATGATGTTGGGGACTCTTAAATTTGAAATGGATATTTTATTTTTTGTGGTTTCTTTACATGAAGCATTTCTTACATGGCGTTTTCAAAATTTCTCAAAATCGGCTTCAAATATTTTTTATACTTTTTGAATGGATAGAGCTAAATACACATATGACAAATGTTATTTGCATGTACTCTTAATATTTAAAAAATGTAACATAGATCTGCTCAAGCAGGCAAGAATTCCGTGGGTGAGGGAAATTCCCCATTCGGGCATTTATATAGTATCCCTATGATGGGGAAATATAATAACTACTGGGTAAATTTTTATAACCAAAACATCGCCAAAAATGATCAATAATATCCTCTTAAATTTTTTTAAATGCCTTAAAAAGCAAAGAAAAATGTGAATGTTTTAAAATGTCTAACTCAAGATGCTGGGTACGTTACAGATATAATCACAATGGCGGATCGAGGGCAGCCATATCCTTCCCCCAAAAAAGACATTGAAAAAAATTAAAATGGTAAAATTTCAGGAAAAATAAAAATGAGAAATACAAGAAAAAAATGTAGAAACGCCTAAAATGTACCGATAAAGTAACCACGCGTTCTGTCCTTAGCCTAGGAATTCTGATTGGGAATTCTGGAAATGGGAATCCCGTTTTTCGCAGTATTTTAGACCAGTGAGACGCATGGAAAATGTTTCTCCAGGGGCGTGTGACTGCTCATAACTCCTTACTCCGCTTGACAAGCGCTGCTACGGTGTCATCTACGTATTGCAGTGTGGCCGACGCAACCGGAAACAGGGGTGACGAGTAAGGTCTCTTTCTAGGTGCCAAGAGAGAGATCGAGGCCACTGCGATATTTCGCGCAATTACCGTGTGCCCAAAACAAAAGATTAGGGCATGGATTGCTTACTACCGCTCCGTCTTCAGGCGCATGTAAGTACTTAAGAGGAGTTAGAAAGTATCGAAAAAGAATAAGAAGAAAAGAGAAAGAAATTTAATACAAATAAAAGGTAGAAGAGGTTTCAAACATATTTTGACTTCCTTTAGTCCTGGACGGTAATCTTTGTATGTAAGCGAATGGTTAATGTGTAAATCGATATCGTGTTTTTTTTATTTAGATTCTCTGTTCCAATTTGCATTACTGAATGAAAAATATAATATCCTTGTTTTGTAGCTTTGATTTTAGCGATTTTAAAAACAAATTATTACTATTTTTAATTTAAAATCATTAAGTATTCATTAAATATTACGTTTAATATTTAAATTTTGTTTACAGAATGTTATGACAATATTTATAATTTATATTATAAACATAATATTGTTCATAAATATACACATACATACAAACGTACAAATATACAAATTTACCCTCCCCATACACATACAAAATTCTTCTCGGGATCCGCCCCTGGTTCAAGTAATATTAAAGGTACCGTAAACGTTTCAAATAAGCTAGACAATAGATAGTTTTACACCACTAGTTTTATATTATTTGAAAAAAATAAATTTCAGAATAACGAATGAATGTTTTAACTAAAAGCTGCATATACTCGTAACATTGTACGGTAAAAGTTTCATTTATATAGATGTAATATTTTTATGAATAAATCTTTTACTATGACTTAATTACCATGAAGCACTTGATTACCCCCATCTTAAATTGTTCATTTTTTAATAATTTTAATGTATTTTATAATTCATAATCATTTTAATGTATGTTATGTAATTTCGCGTAATTTTGTGTTACATAGCTTATATTTTTCAAGCAATATTTTTTCTTACTAGGGTAGAAGTCGCCAAGTTATACGTAATATCAGGTATTAGTTACCATTCATACAAGAAAAGTTTGCTGTTGTAGCACCATTAATTTAACAGCATTTTTTCACAACTTTGCACATTTTTTCCTCACATCTCTATGAAATAAGCTTTGAAATGTTCTCAAGTTCCTTTGCGAAAAGCTTTTCATATTCTAATAGAATTCAGTACATTCCCTCTGAAATATGAGTATGCGCGAAACATTTGAGAAATAATACGATAACTTAAAGGTTACACCGTTTCAAACGCTGCCGACAGGACGCTTATCGCAGAAAACTGAGCAAGTGTATAAAGCACGACAAGCAAATTCGATAAGCGGACAAAATGTCTATTAAAACAGATATCACTATAGGCAGAATTTTTATTGGAGAAACTAAGAGTCCACTCATACTTATAACCTTGCATTCACGCGTGTTATTGTATTCAACAAATTACTTTGGTTAGACTAAATATTCATTAACAGTGTTCCCGAGAAATGCGAAATAAAATACGCGAATACAGGTATTTATTTACACACAGTGACTTTCTTCGAGATATTCTCAAATTGACTTTGAAGTCTTATTCGATGTAATAATTTACAAGACATAATTATACGAACCGATTTAAATAATTAAAACATATCTCCTGCCTATAATCCTCGTCGTAATCTTCGTTTTTATCTTTCTTTTCCTCTGATCTACTTACGTTATCTACAGAAAAAGACGCTTGCTGATACTTGACAGTGCGAGTGCCAAGCGTTGGAATTAGAAACCGTTACGTCACTGGCGTGTAACCTTGGCCGGTGTGACGTAGCGCATGGGTCCGGGGCAACGTACAGCTTGCAGCGCCTTCTGCCGGCGCCCGCGCCGCTCAGATGTTAGTCCCGTCGGGTGTGCTACTGCCGTCCACGCGGACGTCAGGTCCTCCGCGAACGCCTTCCGCGGGCAAGCGCCGCAGAGCGGGTAACTAGCGAACAAGAATGCGTTAGAAAAGGTCGGCGGATTGTCGTTGTGCCATGTCTTCCGTCGTTTCCGGGTTCGTGACGGTGACCGTGCAGCAGGGCGACCTGCGTGGGCGTTCCCGCAAAACGCCCAGTGGGAAGGACTTCCTCAGCTTCCAGGGCGTGCCCTATGCCAAGCCTCCAGTCGGGGATCTTCGCTTCAAGGTAAGATGCACTGTGGTGTCGACTCTTTAATAAGTTAGGCCATGAACATTTTCAATGTCTTATCACCGCACAGATTTATAGGATGGAACAGAGAGCCCGAAAACGACTCCTGTGCAAATTTGGAAAAAAGTTCAAATTTGAATAGAGTGTACACATTGGTCACTCACAAAATGTTTCAAGATTTAGATTGTTCCATTATTTGATTTTCAGAATTTGGCATTATAATGACAAATAATTGAAATATAAAGAGTATGAAACACAATCACAAGATAATTGTACAACATAATTTACAAATCTATTCGGTAATTTTCAGAAAATGTCTCAAATACAGTTCATAAGCTCCAACACTGTCACAACTCGATAAAAACTTAATTATATGATCGTTATTTTATAGCTTTTTTCTAACAATAAATAGCAGAACTAATTTGAAGACGTTTAGTAAAACTTATTCCATAATCCATAAACGAGTAATTTAACTTCCTATTTTTAACCACCAGCGAACAGTAAACACGTTGATCTGAAAATTTCGTTTTGCGAGTTGTCACGCAGTAGTTTAGAATACGCAATATAATGTTGAAACTAATTATCAATTAAATATAGCAAAGGTAAACAGATTTAAACTGAAAAAATTGTGCAAAAGGTACTTATATTAATAGCAGTTTTAGGACGCCCAACAGTAAATCAACACTTAATCATATTTATGGGTGTATTAAATGATATCGAATTTAATATTAATATAAAGTTATATAAACCGAGAGACCTCTCCGCAATAATGCAACAAATGGCAATTACGTGATTGACAGGTTCAGCAAGGCATGCGATACTGGCTCTTGCAGGGAAAGTCAGCTTGCGAGCTGACTGCCAATAGTGAACAACAGACGGTAGGGCAGGCGCAATATCGGTGGCAGCATGCGGTAGCACGAGGGCGAATCGAACAAGGTAACACCAGAATTTGATACCGGTAATACGAAACATCAAAATATGTTCAGTAATATGCAATGAAAAGAGTAAGAATATGTAATAAATACCTAAAATCGGATATAATATGTAACATTAAAATATACTGACTATAAAACACCTATACCTAACTTGAAATAACATTTATCAACAATTTCTTAGACAAACTTTAAAAATAATACAAACGATTTCAAAATAATTTGAAGAGCACACAATGATGCACGTTCTGCACTTTACAACTTTTCCGGCAGTAGTAAAAAGCTTCATCTATTGTTATCCAGAACCGTAGTTTAGCCGTCAGAATTGACGGCCGCAATAGAAGCCATTGTACAAACTGGCGATATCTACGACCAGAAATAATCACAGCACCGTGCAGCATTCTCATCAGAGTCTTAAGACGTCGGCGGTGGCCAAACTTTCTTGGAAATTAAAGTTAAAGATCACAAAAAGCTGCGTCAGTGATCATTTTCACCTTTAGGTGTGAAAAGTATTTCAGACTGACGCACGCTTCCCGTCACTGAGAAAACTGAAGCAGAATGGCCGAGCTGTAGGAACATCCAACCGATTCTGAAGTCGACAGCACTCAGTAATTATGTAGAAAAAAATTCAGATAAAAAAAATTATTGTAATACAAAAAATTGAAAGAATATAAAAGATTTTGTAAAAATAGCAAAATATATAAAATACATAATACAGTACTAAATATGTAAAAATATGTAACGAAATTAGTTGGAAATTGGGTTAGGATTCGCCAAGATTTCTGTTTTGAGAACGGTCAATAGAAAGACAAAAAAATGTAATTACTTAAAAATTCTGTCTCTAGCCTTAACATAAGGTCCAAAGATCTGCACTATACTTATTGTACCAAATTTTAGTGGAAGGGGTACATTTTTTTTCAAATTTATTATTTCATCTGAGAGTATTATACTGTCGAAGCGATTCGAGGAGAGTACACCTGAGTCACTTTGCCTGTTACAACTCGAGCGCTATAACGCGTTCTAGTTAAGAATGGCATTGACGTAAAAGTAACCTGATTCCATTTTCAATGAAACCTTCAATAGGTTACCTAAGATTATGTACTACTTGAAACATCCTCGTGAAACCTGAATATTGTACTTAAGGAATTCGACATACTGTACCTAGTAGAAATTTTAATCTGGAAACAGTAGTGCTCTGGTTAAGAAACAAGATCCGATTTATGAACTGTGTGGTCATCAAGCACAAAATTGTATTGCGCCCCGCCCAACAGAAAAAAATCCTCTAAATTTACTACAAATGTATAACACTAATTTTAATATAATACGTTTTAAATACTTTTTTAACACAGAAGTCCCTTTGATTAATAATTATTTTTCAGATACAATAATATTTTAGGCTTTTTTTAAAAAAATGTACGACTTCTTTCAAAACGGATCAGTCCCCTAACGAACACTATTTTGCTTATAGATCAACTCGACCCTGTTAGGAATCCCTCGTTCCCGACTATAACTGTAAAGGAAACGCTTGTTTTTCGTCTAGTTCTGTGAAGGGAGCCCCAAACCTTCTTCTACTTGAGGATCTGACACGAATGTATCGCTTCCCGAGCAGGAAATCCCTCCTATTGCCGTTTCCGATAACCCGGCAAATCGCGTGTAATCAGAACGCATGATTTGTGGCTCCTCGATACTATAAAATTGGTTAATGGCGAAACGTCTGTCTGTCCTTCCAACTGTAAACGACTTAAGCGTCTAAACCTGACAAAGGATTTTTAATCCAAAATTATTAATCCTTATCGATTTGGCTAAACCCAAGACCCTGCGAGTTGGAAATGGAAATTGAATGCGAATAGGATATTTTTGTTGTAGGTAGTAAGTAGTCGTAGTATGTAGTAAACAAAGCCTCAACTTTTCAAAAGTTTATCAAAAATGTCTCTGAATTTTGGATACTTTCTAGAATAGTACAAAGGACACAATATTCAAAGGACGCATACCAAAAATGTTATACTCTACATTTTCGTTAAACTTAAATTTTCAAAAATTGTGATGCAGCATTAAAAACTGAGATTTTGCGACAGAAAAAATCATATTGTGGTCCCTGATACAGAAAACAGAATAATTCATGCTCTTATATAAAGTACTCGCACATAACTTACAGTGGGTAGTCAGAATACATTTTATGGGTCTTTCATACCGAAGAATCAGTTTACGGCAAAGCGTATCTTCGTCTGTCGTGGTCAACACTAACGCCTTACGACGATTCTTTTCCAAAATCGCCATTCCCCGAACAATCAGGTCGAACTCGCGGCCCTGCGAATTTGAAAAGGATATCGGAAAATCCTTCGGAGGGAAAGTCAAACCGGTTGTCCAAGGTTGTAGTTTTACAGCAAGTAAAATATCCTCAAGCCTAAAAAAACATCTGTGCTAAAGTCTTGTAGTCTGTTTCGTCGGCCGAGTGACCGACACTTTTCGCTGATTCATGGCGATCGGTGGGTAACAAAATTTGCGTGGTCATGCGGAAGTGCTGGTCTGCTGGCCTGGGCCTCGCCACGTAAAAAAAGCCTCATTGAATTGAATCGAATCGAATTGCATTGCGTTGTGCAGGCCCCGCAGCCAGCCGAGCCGTGGGCGGGCGTCCGCGACGCCACGCGTCCGGGCAGCCCCTGCCTGCACCTCAACACCCTGGTGAAGCGGCTGGTGGGCAGCGAGGATTGCCTCTTCCTGAACGTGTTCACGCGCCGCCTGCCCACCGCCAGCCTCGAACCGCGGGCCGTGATGGTGTGGATCCACGGGGGAGGCTTCACAGAGGGCTCCGGCAACGACTGGGGGCCGGAGCACTTCATGGAGCACGACGTGGTGCTCGTCACCTTCAACTACCGCCTGGGGCCTCTGGGTAGGCAACAACTTTCTTGCTTGTTCGTAACAACCCCACAACAATACCGTTTCCGTTTACGCGTAACTCCAGCGAAGGGGGGAGGGGGGGAACTGTGGACCCCAGAATAAATTTCAATACAATTCAATGAATATATATTTTTTAAAACTAATAATTGATTAATTTAGCAATATATTAGAATCATTTTCTGCAAGATTGTGATGAAATATTTTTATGTTTTGATGTATGGCAAAGGCATACGTATTACAGATTCTATTGTTGCGTGTGGACATAAATTGCAGAATCTTAAAGTAAAAAGGGGAGTCCGAAAACTATAGAGTATCAATCATACACTCGGGTAGAAAACTATACCGTATTGCTTCTCCCAGAAAGTAAACATTCCTTTTTTAAATATATTTCCTTCCCGTTCGACTTTTGTCTTTCGGGGGTTTTGACGGATACAATGTTACATACAATTTACTTGGCCTTCCTCAGGCAAATGCAAGTCTCGGAATAACCCTTCACTATTTTTTTTTAATTTCATATTTGGATATCTTCACTAAGAGAAGTTTGCATTTGAGGTTTAGACGAGGAGGGAGAATACCTGTGGGAAGAGGGGGAAAATAATTTTATGAATTAGGGTGGGCGAAAGAGATCTGGATCTAATGCGTGATGGATAATGTGCGTTTTGGCAGAGGTTAAATATTGGAGTGTTGGGGCATACTGGGAGGGGAGATTAATATTTTTTAGAGGTTTGTGAGATGAATTCTGAGAGGAGAGGTATTTGAAGCTCTCGCTGGATTTGTGAATTTGAAATGAACTAGCGGGGCTTTCAAGGTTTCTTAGATATTTATTTTGGATTGTCTGTAAAACGGATAGATTTGTTGGTGCTATGTTGCGCCATATTGAACATACGTATGTCATTGTGGGTCTTATTATCATTTGATAGATGAGTAGCCCAGTTTCTATACTGAGGGTGGAATATCTGTTTTAAACGGGTATAGCTTTAGACTTTGGGCACGTGTCGTATGGCCTGTTGATTGAATGTGCCATTTCCACGTTAGTCGTTGGTCCGGGAAGACACCTAGGTATTTGGATGGAAGAATGAGAAAGCCAGGAGACATCAGTGTTATTTATTCGCAGGGGTGTAGGGAAGGGAGAAGTCTGAGAATGAATATTTTAGACTGCGATTTTAAGAATTAACATTCCCGAGCAATCAATCTTTGCTGGATTATCATTGTAAACAATCTTGCATGAACCTCTTATTTTCAATTCATTATTCAATTAATTTCGTGATATAACTATGCATAGGTTTTGGTACACTCTCGGAAAAACAAACTGAGTGGGAGTTTTACATTAAGTCAAAAATTAATATTGCATTCATTGTGGTATAATTCCTAAAGTGAAAAATAATTTCCTTCAGACTTTAAAGATGAAAACCCACATTGTAAATAGCCTTGTATTACGATGCCAGGTTTATAAAAGCGTTTTTACAATTTTACTGTAGCTTATGTTAATCAACTCCAAACATTTCCATAACTAGATGGTGCTTCGGAATGGCCCGTATATTTGTGTTGCGCTTAATAAAATAGTAATTATTTTAATTTAGCTAATAATATAGCCAAAACTGATATTTTATGCTTCCGTCGCACTTAATGTTCTTTTCAGCATTGAATCTAAATATTTCAATTACTTAGATACCGTTTTCGTAGAAACAACTCAAACAATATTGCACTAGTGTCAAAATCTATAAATATTGCATTCAGTAATGAAGTTTCTCAAAATTATATAATTCTACAAAAATTATATCATTTTACACTATTTACAGTATATCAATACAATGTTTACGTTCATGTATTAAGTTAGGAAATTTTTTTATCTAAAACACACATTGGCAAATTATTTACGTGTTGAAACAACGTTACGTGAAATGGTCCTATCACATATCCAGGTCATACAAAAATAACAAAGTTCGAATGCATGCATAAGCGGAGCGCTTCTCGGACGTGAAGAGGAAAACGTTGTGGGAAGCGGCCATCATTCACAGTCACACGAGAAGACCATGTAGATGGCATACAATGCTTATTGTTCCTTTTTCTGTTTATTGTCTAATGGCGAACTCGTCTGCTTTTAGGATTCCTGAGCCTGGGGACGAAGGAGTTGCCAGGCAATGCTGGTCTGAAGGATCAGGTGCTGGTTCTCCGCTGGGTGCGGGATAACATTGCCGTGTTCGGAGGGGACCCCCACAACGTCACGCTCTTCGGGGAGAGCGCGGGCGCTTCCTGTGCTCACCTGCACTGGATGTCCCCGCTGTCCAAAGGTGAGCGGGGCATTGCCTCTACCGCCCACATTTAGTAATGCGCGAAACGCCGTGGGCCCAGTGAACTAAGAGCTTCTCCGTCGGAATGTCAACTGCAAATTGGGGTTTAGAACGGAAAAGCATATACACCCGTCTACTCGAGTTATAACTGTGTGTACATACGTTAGAGTTATTATTAGAACACGATTATTCTAATAGTCAGTGGCAAGGCAGTGTAGATTACCTTGTCTATGGCATTATTATTGTAACAATAATAAATTTAGTAATTAAATGACTCCAAAAATGGTTTCAAAATTTATATTTAAACTGTCCACGGATAGCATATAAAGAACGCTTTAAAATGGTGCAGGTCTCGTTTTGTTTAATTTCTGAATTTTTGAAATTTGCAAAAGATAGAATTAATTCGAAAAAGGTATATACTGTTCTAGCGGCACCCGTAGCGTTTGAATTAATTCTAACAATATCGACTTGTAGAAGGTCTCTTGCATTAGTAAGGGAGGGGCGTCCGAAGCCCACAACTTAAATTTTGATTTTATAATTTTCATGAATTTGATTATATGGACATGTTAGACAATTTTATTAAATTATTAAATTGTATCAGTTAATACACCTTTTACTCGTTTTAAAAACATCTTTTATTTCGCAATCTACAATTTAAATAATATTGTGTGTGTATATATATATATATATATATATATATATATATATATATATATATATATATATATATATATACCAAAATAATACCAAAACATTTTTTTCAAATAAAGACCTATATTCCTATCAAAGCAACGAATTTAATCAATCGATGATGTATTAATTTACGTGACGACGCTCAGGCCGTAATGTCTGCTCTTTCGAGTGACTATACGCAAATTTCGCTACACTCCTATCACCTTCTATGAGGGCGTTTTAATATTTAATTAAATTATACTACGACAAAGTAATACAAATATTTCCAAAATATGATTTATTTTTAGTGAATATTCCTGATCTTTTTAACCACAATCAAAGCCGCTGTAATAACTCAAATGATAACAAAAACTTATAAAAAATGGGATCATATTTTGAACAAAAAGCACATCACAAACTATATCAATGATTTTCAGCTTCTGTAAAAATGAAACCTATAAAAAACAACCGATCCTCGCTAGCCCTCTGAAACCGCCACCGCTCTTGGTGATTCTGGGATTCACAGGCGCTATTGATTTCCACAGGGCTGTTTCGGCGCCTGATCTGCTCGAGCGGTTCCGGCTTGTGCTGGTGGAGCATCTCCAGGGACAGCGTGGGGCGCGCCAAGCGCCTGGCCCTGGCCGCCGGGTGCGACGCAGCCATCCTGGACGATTGCGAGGCGCTCGTTCAGTGGTATGATGTACTAACGTTTTACATTTTACTTCTACACATGATGCAACGACATTGTTCTGTTGTCATTGCATCACGCTTTTACACACGCATGCCCTTTCAGCTCCTCTGGAGACATCAGGAATCATTTCACGAGGGAGGGAGGGAGGGAGGAAAACTTGGAGTTCACACATCGTCGGTTTGCAAGTGTAGTAGCTGCAATAAAACATCCTGTCTCGCATTATTTCTGAATTTGCCATTTTAGAAAGTTCAGAGAGTTCAATGAAAATGAGATACACGCCATTCTTAAGCATCCCGTATATATCTTAATATCCCTTACACTGATATAATATCAGTGGAAAAAATGTACGAAAAAATGTAGAGTGGTTTTTGAGAAAAACGTGTTAAATTTATTTCAATTGTCTACACTTCGCGCCAAATTACAAAACTACTTATATTTCCGTAAAATTAAACATTAACTTATTTAAAGATCTTAAAGGTCTTTAAGGAACAGATTTCATTAAGGAAAATTCTCTATCTTCAGTATTATAGTTGTAAGAAGATGCCCCCCCCAAAAAAATTCACTTTTGCAATTTTCCAAATCTGCGATTTCAACGAAGACGATACCGGCAGTAATCTCTTAAGCGTCCTTTACGCTGACCGAAGACAAAATTTGATCAAAAATTTAGTGCTATTTTTGAGAAAATTTTGAAAATGTTATTGAGGCTTCACGTTAAGTGCCCTCAAAATCAAAAATCAGTTTGAAAATTCCAAAGCCTCAAGTTCAGTCAGATCGACTGAAAAATATCAATTTTCAGGAAAATTGGCAGTTTAGGCTTAAGCATTGACCACGGAGCGAACAGAGAGACTTTTTGCTGCCAATCGATTTTTTGGTAACAAGGATCCACAAAACATAGATTTTGGCTACACCACGTGTTAGTTTTTTTTCTATATTTATCAAACAGAATTTATCCACTTTTTCGTTATGTGAGTCCATGAAAAGAGAGTTTTTCTGCTGAACATTCGTCGTTTTGCGGTACACGATTATATAACTTACTCTTCATAAGAAATAACTTCGTAAGGGCGGGAAAGTAAAACATTAACGAAATATCATTTCTGAGTTAAGTGAAGAATGTATAAAATTATGTATTTTTATTAGTAAAAATGTATTAAAGATTGCTCACAAATCAACCGAGTCAAAAAACACTTTGCCTTTGCAGAGGATGTTCAGAATAAGACCGTTATCTTCTGTCTCTCTCTCTCTCTCTCTCTCTTTATATATATATATATATATATATATATATATATATATATATATATATATAAATGAATTGCTGTTCGTTAGTCTCGCTAAAGGTCGAGAATGGCTGAACGGATTTATCTTATCTTGGTATTGAAATGTTTGTGGAGGTCTAGGGAAGGTTTAAAAGTTGAGAAAATTTCGAATAATTTCCGGGAAAACCCTGAAAACAGCCCTTTTCTATTTCGCATACAAACGTTTTCTAAATAAAATGGAGAGTCAATTTGTAATTTATTACCGCTACATAAACTGCAAATTCGCGTGCGTGTTGGAGTATCTAATGCGCGTGTGTGTGTATGTGATATTTTGTGATAGTGACACTTTACTGCTAAACCAGCGAGAATTTTTCTCAATTTACGATGCCAAGGAGAAGACGATCTGACTTAGGTCGTCGCAGTCAATCAAATGTGCGAAGAGCTACCTCACGTGCTAACCGCACTGATGACCAGAGAGAGACAGATCAAGAAAATAGTCGTGTTGCTATGTCAGAATTGCGTTCTTTAGTGAGTAACAATGTAGTAGATAGGTATAGAATGCAACGAGCGCGTGCATATCACACGCAACAACAGCAAGCAAGACATAATGAAATTGAGCGAATCCGCAGACGCAGTGCTCCTGTGATTCTTGAACGAGCTGCATTCCACTATGATCCGGCAATTGATTATTGTGGAAATGAAACTAATTTGTAAATATTGTAAGGCGTTAAAATACACTGGTAAATCTACTGGATTATGTTATGGTGGACGCAAAGTAAAATTGCCACAATTGGTCCCACCACCAGATCCTTTACGCTCTTTAGTTTCTGGGATTGGAAATGATTCTAAGCACTTCTTGGCCAACATTCCGAAATATAACAGCCGTTCTCAGATGACATCATTTGGCGCTACACATATTATACAGGACAATTTCATGCCCACTTTCAAGGTATTATACCAGAATATTTTTTTATAATATTCAAGTTTGTACTACAATAAATAAAAATCGGAAATAAAATAATGGACAAATTTTTAAAAATTACAGATACAAGGACACATTTATCACTTACTGGGAACACTGTTACCACTAACTGATGCAGATCATCAATTTTTACAGATTTATTTTATGGGCAATTCAGATGCGGAAATTGATAATCGTTGTGCTCACAATCCAACAAAGAAGAGAACCATTTTCCAAGAATTACAAATGTTTCTTCATCAGAATAACAATTTAGTAAACATGTTCAAAATAGCATTGGATCGGATGCCATCTGATAGCCATAATATTAGCATTGGAGCTGACAAAACACCTACCAGTGAACACACAAGGAGGTTTAATTCACCTACCATTGATGAAGTGGCTGTTGTCATTGTGGGAGAAAACTTACAATCTAGAGATATTGCGCTTCATCGTCGGAATAGTGATTTAAAACGTGTATCTGAAACACACAGGAGTATTGATGCAGTACAATATCCTTTGATCTTCTGGCAGGGGGAAGATGGATACCATTTTAATATCCAAATGGTAAATCAAGTAACAGGTAAATAAATTGAACAAGATTAAATAATATTTTAAATTCAATTCATCTAAGTAACAATTTAAACATTTATCATTTTTGATTGCAGGTGCTGAAACCAACAAAAAAGTTAGTGCTATGAATTTCTATTCACACAGACTCATGATCAAGTCACTTCAAGGTGAAGTAAATCATATTTTGATGTGTCAACGACTTTTTCATCAGTTTGCAGTTGACATGTACGTCAAAATTGAGACTGAACGATTGACATACATCCGTTTGAACCAACGACGGCTACGATCAGAGGAATTCATTCATCTCCTCGATGCTATAAATGCCGATGGCAATGTGAATTATGTAGGAAGAATGACTAAGTTTGCCAGCCTCTTATATAGGAAGCCCACGCCACATGCATGAATATGCTCAGGATGCTATATCATATGTTAGGCATTATGGCCGCCCAGACTTATTTGTTACATTCACATGTAACCCAAAATGGTCCGAAATTGAGAGGGAATTACTACATACCCAAACACCAGTTGGTAGACATGACATAACTGCCAGAGTTTTTAAACAAAAATTAAAATCTCTCATGAATTTCTTAATAAAGCATTGTGTGTATGGCTGAGTACGTTGTTGGATGTACTCTGTAGAATGGCAACAGCGTGGATTGCTACATGCGCACATTTTAGTCTGGTTAGTGAACAAAATAAGGCCAGATGAGGTTGATTCCATAATTTCAGCTGAAATTCCAGATGAAATAGTTGACCCAAAATTGCATGCAGTAGTTACCAAACACATGATACAAGGACCTTGCGGACGTATCAACTACAATTCACCCTGTGTGGTCGACGGCAAGTGTTCCAAGCAATACCCAACAGACCTGCTTGCTGAAACCATAACGGTAAATGATGGATACCCATTGTATCGTCGACGATCAGTTGCGGACAATGGGCGATCGGTAGTTGTGAAAGTAAGAGGACAAAATGTTGATGTAGACAATCGTTGGATTGTGCCATACTCGCCAATATTGTCCAAAGCTTTTGAGACTCACATCAATGTGGAATATTGTAACTCTGTGAAGACGATAAAGTACAAATATAAATGTGTTAACAAAGGTAGTGATATGGCTGTCTTCGGTGTAAACAAAGCAAATGATGAAATATTACAGTACCAGATGGATCGCTATGTAAGTAGTAACGTAGCAATTTGGCGTATCTTTTCATTTGCGATCCATGAAAGACACCCTACAGTAGTCCACTTGGCAGTCCATTTAGAAAATGGTCAACGTGTTTATTTTAATGAATCAAACGCGGCAGAGAGGGCGGCACATCTTCCGTCGACAACATTAACAAGTTTCTTCCCAGTCTGTCAAACTGATTATTTTGCTCGCACTTTGCTGTATGCTGACATGCCACGCTATTACACATGGAACGTATCATCGAAATCTTTTCAGCGTCGCAATCAAGGAACACAAGTTGCAGGACATCCAAATGTATTTGCTTTAAACGCTCTGGGTCGCATCTACACAGTACATCCAAATGACGATGAATGTTATTATTTGCGGTTGTTGGTGAATGTTCGTAGTTCGACATCGTTTAAACAACTGAGAACACTTAATGGACAGCTGTGTGCGACTTCTCGGAGGCATGTCAACCATTACATTTACTTGAGAACGATTCGCACTGGGATAATACGCTCAAGGATTCCGTAATATCTTCATCGCCAAATCAAATTCGTTCATTGTTTGCAATTATCATATCGACATGTTTCCCTTCGAATCCAAAAGATTTGTGGGTTAAGTATAGAGATGACATGTCTGAGGATGTTTTGCATCGTGTGCGCCGTCAAACTTTGAATCCTACACTACAAATGACTGAAAAAATTTACAATGAGACATTGATCATGATAGAAGGTATGTGTTTATTGATGGCAAATAAAGTATTGTCGTGTTTGCGAATGACAGCACCCAGCCGTCACGATGCATTACACCACGAGTTGCAAAGAGAACAACAGTACGATATTGAAGCATTGGCCGAAACAGTTCGTACAAATGTACCACAATTAAATCAACAACAAAGAATTGCGTACGACACTTCGATAAAAGCTGTGAACAGTGGATCTGGTGGAATTTATATCCTTGATGCTCCCGGAGGAACCGGAAAAACATTTTTAATTTCATTGCTTTTGGCGAGGATCAGATCGCGAAATGATGTTGCTCTAGCGTTGGCTTCATCTAAAATAGCAGCGACTCTGCTAGAAGGCGGGCGAACTGCACATTCTGCCTTGAAATCACCGAAACACCAATTTGCAACATCACCAAAAATAGCGCAATGGCCAAGATCCTACAGGAATGCAAATTGATTGTTTGGGATGAATGTACAATGGCCCATAAGAGATCACTGGAGGCACTGGACAGAACGTTGAATGATCTTCGTGACAACCAAAATATTTTTGGTGGGATTCTGTTGTCAGGTGATTTTCGTCAGAGTCTTCCAGTTATTCCCCGATCAACTGTTGCTGATGAACTAAATGCATGCCTAAAATCATCGAATTTGTGGCAGTACGTAAAGACAAACCATTTAACAACTAACATGCGATTATTTTCGCAACAAGATGAAACTGCAAATGTGCTTGCGAAGCAGTTTTTAGACATTGGAAATAATAAAGTTGCAATGGACACCTCGTCCGGATTCATGATATTACCCACAGATTTTTGTCACATCACAGACTCAAAAGAGGAGTTTATTCAGCGTGTTTTCCCAGATATAGCGCAAAAGTTCAATAACCATAATTGGCTGGGTGAACGAGCAATATTGGCGGCGAAAAATAAAGATGTCGAGGCTCTCAATGCGACCATTCAGAAGTTTCTTCCAGGACAGTTGGTTTCCTTCAAATCAGTCGACACCGTTATGAACCAGGATAACGTAGTCAACTATCCCACGGAGTTTTTTAATGCACTGAAATTGCCTGGATAACCACCTCACAATTTGCAGTTAAAAGTAGGATCAGTTGTTACCATGTTGCGTAACATTAATCAACCTCGACTATGCAATGAAACAAGACTGGCTGTAAAAAAGATGATGAATAACGTCGTTGAGGCAACAATCATAAAAGGAAAATTCTAAGGAGAGGATGTCTTGATCCCGCGGATACCGATGATTCCAACGGACTTACCATTCGATTTTAAACGCTTACAATTTCCAGTACGTCTGGCCTTTGCGATGACCATAAATAAATCGCAAGGACAGTCGTCAGAAGTTTGTGGAATCAACTTAGAGTTTCCCTGTTTCGCGCATGGACAATTATACGTCGCGTGTTCGCGCGTCGGAAAACCGTCTTCTTTGTTTATTTACGCACCACAAAACAAAACAAAAAATATAGTTTATGAGAAAGCTATAAATTGATTAACAGACTGTATTATAACAGTGTGTGTCTGTAAATATCAAATTTAAACCTTATAAATAGCCAGTATGTCAGAAAAACTCTGTTTTGTAAGTAAGCAACCTGATGTGTCAAAATTAATAATAAATCTTTGTTTTAAAATCATTTTATACAAAAGTTTAGGTCTTTTATTTATCGTTGAGACAGTACAAAGTCTGCCGGGTCAGCTACTCATGCAATATAAGTTTGGTGTTTCACTTCTGAATACAATGACATGTGAGTACATGAGAATACAATGGCGCTGTGCTGAGGGAGGTTAAAGCCAAAGGTTAAGGTTAGTAGGCATTTAAGTTTGGTGATATCGCAGCATGTGGACTAGAGAGACTAAAATGGTCAGCAGCAAAAATAATTTTTACTTTTTTTTAATTTATAAGCATCCGTCATTTGCTTTCGATGAAATATGTTTTCCAAGTTTCTTGTAAAGAAGTGGGATTAAATACACGCTGGTTAAATTTGTGCTTGTTAAAGGTTTGCGCCGTTGTTGCGATACACTATCAATGTGGTCTGTAAGTGACTTCTCGGGAAAATATCGACCTCGAACATAGACGGTATGTTACAGACAAGTAAGAGACGATTTCCCGCACGAAGAACTTTATTACTGAAACATTCTCAGTGAACTAGTTCACGAAATGTGTACTTAAATAAATTGAAGGAAATTAAAATAAATTATAGTAATCAATTTCAATTTCAAAAAAAAAAAAAACAATAATGAACCAAAAGTAAACTTGTGCAACAGTGAATCTCAAATAGAGTAAATATCTTGTTAATTTTCCAATCTTGCGCAGCTAAATACATGAATTTTTCAAAAGTACTTTTTGCGCTCAATCCCTAAAAATTAGACTATTTAACTTATTATATTTTTTAACAGTTTTGATTTGTCTTATTTACCTAGCCTAGACAATCTTCGTTAATCAGTTTTTCTTTTATTCCACTTTTCCAGTCGCCTTGCTTCTGGCAAGCCCATTAGTTCATCCTTCCGATCTTCTACATCCGTATCCTTTCTTTTTCTAGACTCTTCGCTACTTCTGGTCGTAAACTCTTCTCCTCAGGCCGTCCAGAATTTTCCCTTTGATTCAGAACTTGTGCTTTCCCACGCAGGCTACGAGAGGTGCAGGCGCAGAAGCTGCTGCAGGCAGTGAAGTCGGCCAGGACGAGGGTGGAGCGGTTGAGCTACACCAGCTTCCCGTTCGTGCCGGTCGTGGAGCCCGAGCACCCGGGCGCCTTCCTCACCAAAGACCCTCACCAGGTGGTGGCGGAGCGGCTGGCTGACAGATGCCGACCAATGCCCATCCTCTTGGGGCTGATGTCGCACGAAGGGATACTTCGGTTACCGGGTAAATTGTTCGCAGATCAAACAAGAGATTATTCGCGCAACTTTAAATTAGGTTTCTTGAAATTTCTACCAACAACGAATTATTTAAAATTTTAAACGGAAGAAAACTTTACATTGAAATTGTCCATAAATATCCAAAAGAATCTGGAATGAGCGAAATAGCGGAAATGGAGAGGAGGGCAATAAGTATTAAGACACTGTCCGTCCTCTAAATCCCACGAGGTATGTGAAAAAAGATGACCCGTCTTTCATCAGTCCGACAAGGTACTTCAAACTGTAAAAGTCCCTTAGTAAAACAATACAAGTATATTCCAATTGAAGAATTAGCACATGAGGTCCTAGCTAATAAAATAATCATGATAGTAATAATAATAATTGCGATGATAATAGTGATGACAATGATAATATAACCTAGTGCTGCTACATCAGCGCATATGTTCTCGCCCTGTTGGAAACAGCTACGTAATATTGAAATATGGATTTTCTGCGCTACTAACATCTCATCTATTACTTGAAAATGTCCAATTCAATCAAGAAGCGGGCAACACACTTGCCAGCGTAGCGTTGCCACAACTATGAGCATTCGCTTGGCGAATAATTTCAATTCTTGAAAAAAACGCTTATTTCCGTCTGTATTCTTACTTATACTTTTTCTCGGTTATTCATAGTACTCGTACACAGTTGATAAATAACTAATACTAATAAAGTAATTAAGTTACTAATATTCTACGATTTGAAATAGTAAGTTAATTTATTACGGCCTTTTTATTTGTATATTGATACCACCTCAAACGAAGAGTATGAAAATAAAACTCGTTACATCGACCACGGTGAAGTATTCCTAAAATATACTTTAAATGAGAGTAAAATCTCTGTTCTCTCTCTCTCTGTACAAGGCAATAAAAACAGTGAATGTCGCCTTGTATGCGGCGGTACGACAATTGATTTCAAAAACCAACAATGATCGGTCACATTTAATACAATTAAAGGACGCAGTTTAAAATGAAATAACAATCTAATATAAATAATAAATAACAATAATAGAATTTGTATGTTATTTCATGTTTTATTTTAACATACGTAGCATCCAACTGCATAAAATGGGATTGGGTGACCGAAGGCTAGCAATATTTATTTCATATATTTCAAATAGGTGTTAAATAATTATAAAAGATGAGTGTTTAAATGTATAAGAAAAGGTCGAATGTAAGAAACGAACAAAGAACATGGAACACACACAAGAAAGTAACTTTCTCTTCTTAAGAAGTTCCTTCCTAAGCGCGAGAAAGTACTAGTTCACCCGGCGATAATCGGGCAAACTAGGTTTGTCATTTCAGATGAGAAAACACACAAGGTGTTCTCTATAATATTGGCAATAAATAATTCTTTAACCGTTTGATTTCAGAAGTAGAGATTTCCGTAGAATGTTTTTTTGTAATTTTTCGATTTCGTGGTAGTCCGAAAATCACCGCAATTTAATGCGCGTTTTCAAACCTCAAAGTGCTATTGAAGACTTGGGTGTTCATTAGCATCATTTGGGAACAGTGAATTTACTGCAATTTCTGCCGGACGGCTAGCAAGCTATGGTTCTGACTGTTGAAAATAGGGCCAGATCGCAAACCGGTGAGCAATGCAGGGCTAACGAAATTTACACTCCTCTCCTGTCAAATCAAATATTTGCGTTTTTTCGGCAATGCTTATAGCAATAAAAAAACTCAAGAAACTGCTTTGCAGAAATGAATTTATCTACAAAATGACATACGAAAGGTAGTAGAGGTTGTTTATCCAATTGAGAAGACAGTGATATTTTTCCAACTTGGACTCACACTGAGGAATGATCATATAAATAGTGCCAATGCAAATGATTCTATTGGCATACTCCCCATTTTCGCGCATCTCCATGAAATCGAATTATCAACTTGTTGTGCTGGACGTTTGCGTAGACCTTCTCGCACTAGTTAGTTTTCTAATCTTCATAATTTGCTTTTTTTTATTTTTTAATATGCGCATTTAATATGCTTCAAAATAGTTTTTACATTTCCTTGTACGCCTATTACAATTGAAAAAAGGCTTTAAGAGTATTATAGAAGAGTAAATCTATTTTATACTGAAAAATTCGAGCATTTCTGGGAAAATGTTTGAGTGTTTCTCAAAATGCGCAATTTTGAGATTTTCAGAGAACATTTTTTTCGAAAAATTATATAGTAAATCATTAAAAAACTAGTGCTCAAAAATGCCAGCAACAGCGCACTCAGTAAAGAATAATTGTAAAAATAGGGATCAGATAAATTCAATTACAAAAATGTAATAGCACTTTTTAAAAGAATATAATTTTCTAGATTGCGGTGTAAGAAACATAAATTATGTCATGGTAGGGAGAATAAAGTCTGGCATTGGGAGTATAAAGCGCATGGTTTGGGAGTTATGCACGATGGTAACGTGTTTTGTCGGGTTACGTGCATGACTCGGGCTTATGACCTATATTACAATCTGCGAATTTCTATGTGTTTAACTTAAATATCTTTATGATAAGAAGATTGTGGGCAATTGTCTTTCTAGGAATGACACACTTACCGGGTGGCTTAGGGCATCAACTGATGTCACTGCAGTGCCTCTGACCGGAAGGTCCTAGGTTCGAGACCCGACGGTAACAGGATTTTCGACTCTAGCTTTTCAGATAAGTCGAATTTAGTCGCTGTCTGGAGGAACATTCTGAACGCCTGCTCTGATCGGAAGTTTTCCGTGGTTTCTCTGATCAACATTAGGCGAATGCCGGAGCAGTACCCTACCAAACGGGCCACCGACCGCGCGCGATCTTTCCTACCTCTTTCTTGTCCTATCCCCTTACTTCTTTCGATGTACAAAACCGTCGTGTTTGCGTTTGGAAGGGAATAATTTAATAATATCACATTAATATTGTAATGCGAACGCATTGCAGGTGTTCTTTCTCCAGAAGCTTGGGCGCGCACGGATGAAAACTTTCAATATCTCTTGCCTTACGACGTGCTGGCAGACCCCAGGGACACAGAGAGAACTAAAGAAGTATGCCAGCGCATCAAAGACTTCTACATGGCAGGCAAGAAGCTCTCGGAGGAGACAGCAGAGGGTTACGTGCATGTGAGTCTCGCAGCTGCAGAGCGTGAGTCAACAATTCAAATTTCAGTAGCGAAATCATTGCTTATATATGTCACTCGACGTAGTAATTGCATTCATCATGTGTCTACATCAATAGCTCTCTACAAAAATTCACATACATGTACCTTCATTATTTATGACATTAAAATATATACACACGTTTAACTGCCAAGTAAAAGCTTTTCTGCTGTATAATTGTTTTTATACAATTAGGAACTATATCGAGCATTAAAAGGGAAAGAGACATTAATTTTAGCTACGATATTTAATATGCTAGTTAACATTTGTACTGTCTAATTTTAAAAGAATAAATATACCTGTGTCAAGTAATGTACTCAGCTTTAGGGCCAATGACCCTCATCTCGATCATGGTTTTGTCAGTTTCCCTAATTCTGTGAGCAAATGCTGAGAAGGCCTCGTGTTTTACGTGTGGATATAAATGTAATTTTTTATCTGGGAACATCATGTATAGTTCGGTGAAAATACACTAATTAAAATCATCAATTCTCCACGCTGTGGCGGCAGCAAGTCGATGCCGCCGTAAAAGGCATAATGACGGATAAAAGCCTAAATTTGTAGTTGATTTGTCTTCGCAAATAAGTTTTATTACACGGGAGTGAATATTTTCTTATAAATTGTTCTCACTGGTATTTATAATTCATCTTGTAAATAGGTTGGGTTAGGTTAGAGATCCCAGAATTGAAGAAAACATGCATAAAATTCACTATTCCCTTGAACGTCATATACAGTTTTAATAATTTTTGACGATAAATAAACAAGATGACAGCGTTATTTACCATTGCACTTCATCATGCATATTTCTACTGCATTTACCATCAGCGCAGGGATAATGAAAGTGTAATAGAATGTAAAAAATCATGTGTTTTTGGTTGAATATTCTTTATATGCACTAATACGATGCCATATTGTTTTGACTGTACAAATCCTAGTTGAAATGTAAATGAACCCGCTTTCAGCTATGGGCAACGTTAGCTCTGGAATCTGGAGGAGCAATCTCAAACATACGAAACGAAGCTGAATCAAGGATTTACTTTGATAATCAATATTTAGGTTTAAAATAATGAATTATTCAGGAAACTACAAGATTCTGGTTCGAAGCGTTGCTGAAAAACGACAAAGATACGAATTAAAACTAGCTGTAAATTCCATATCGCTGAAGTATAGTACTCAGGGTTAAATCAAGTATTTAAAGTTCCAGCTCATAAGAATATTCGTAAAGCATTTTCTTCGAACTGACTGACTTGGCTCAGGGAACAGGCGATGTTTTCACTGCAGCAACGTGCGGTCTAATATGCATACATGTGATAATTTTTTGAGTCAACGGACATTGTTAAAATATGTGTGTGTGTGTGTTACAATTACACATGAACTATACACCAGAGTGTGTTAATCAATCATTGTACATCGTAGACTTCATTTGATAAAGGTTTGTAGTAGGCTTTCTGTTACGAACGTGACGACAATCTTTTTTTGCTTTCTGTTCTTTAGTTCTCAACAGACATGATGTTTGCGCATGCGCTGACCACGACGGCGCGAATACATTCCCGGCTGGGCGCGCCGGTGTACCTGTTCGAGTTCGCGTACGTCGGGCGCCTCAACGTGTTCGGGCCGCTGTACGGGGCGCAGCGCGTGCCCGGTGCCTGCCACGCCGACGACCTGGGCTACCTCTTCCACCTGGACCGCCTGCCGCCCGTCGAGGACAGCAGCCCCGAGGCGCGCGTGCGCCGCCGCATGGTGCGCATGTGGGTGCACTTCGCGCAGACCGGGTGAGTGCTCGCACACTATTATTCATTCATGTGCGCATGTGGGTGCACTTCGCGCAGACCGGGTGAGTGCTCGCACGCTATTATTCATTCATGTGCGCATGTGGGTTGCGCTTTGCGCAGACCGGGTAAATTCTCAGACTCTTTCTATTACGCAATCATGTGCTCATGTGTGTGGACTTCGCGTAGGTCGGGTACGTTTTCAGGCACTATTATTCATGTGCGCATGTAGGTACACTTTGCACACATCTGATGATTCCTCAGACACTTTGTATTATGCAATCCTTTGCGCATGTTGGTGGACTTCAGGCAGGCCAGGTGACTCCGCAGACATTATTATTCGTTCATGTGTGCATGTGGGTGAACTTCGCGCAGACCAGGTGAGTTTCCAGACTCTTGTATTTTTGCATACATGGACGCGTGGCATGCCCGATGTGTTCTCGTTTCACTGATTTACCATTATGGATTGATGCCCATGTAAAATTTCTTTCAATCTACATATCATTGCTAATCCTCTACTGCGTTAGGCATTGATGTCTGCTAGCGCGTTGACTTTGGCGCAGGAGGGTGTATGACCTGAAAAGACTTTCATGAGTTCATAATATTTTGCAATGGATTTCCCGCAATAAGGGCAAGCAGTGAAAACTAATCACCGTTTTGAAGTTATGTGAACATATGATTTTTTTCAAATCCACGAGAAATTTTAAATCCACGTGTATTTAACTAACGCCCTTCTAATGCGTTCTGTCATCCCTTAATTAAGTCGTGTGTGCTTGAGAGTGATATTCGCATGAATAGAGAATTCTAAAGCCAAGAGTAAAAAGTAATTAAGAGTAAAAAGAAGGAAGAGAGTTGGATGAAAACGCTCTGAAGGTGTTTAATGTAAAGCAGGTTTTTAAGAAACAACTCGATCAAGGCCTAAAAATTAAAAAAAGATTGATAATTAAAGTATTGTTTCAATTACAGGAATCCGACTCCAGCACTGAATGAAGAAATAACCCTGAAATGGGAGTTATTTTCGGAAGCGGAACCCAACTACTTACAAATGAGTCATGAACTGACGCTCAACTCTGGCCTTTTAAAAGAGCGCATGGAATTTTGGGATAATTTGTACAAAAATGAAGGGACTCACAGACGCTATTTAGACAATCAAATTGATTCGTAAGTATTACAAGAGATATTCAATATTATGCAAATGTCTCAAAAGTTAACTTTAATAGGGTATACTTTTTAAATGGTCAAACAATCTCATGATAAAATTCATTGACTATATATTTTAATGGATAGGTTTTTGTACAAATTCGAATAATATGAATAAGGCAAATAAATGTAAGTGATTTGAATCTTATAAATGGCGCATTGGTCAGTTGATTATATGCAGATTCAGGAATTGCCCAAGGGATGGTCACATGGGAGCACTAGAGGGTCTTCCATTAATTACGAAAAGCAAATGTGGAGTATTTTTTATCTCTTCCTTCTCCCCTGTAACCAACCCTTCTGTAACACGAGCTGTAACCCCTACGATTATTTTATAAAGCTTGATAAAACCCTCTCCCTTATAGGATAGAGCACATTGATGGGCATGGTAAGGGTAACTAATATTTCTTCTTCAATGTTTATTTATCCAATCAAAAATACATAGTTGGCAAATGAATTACTACATATGTGTGCATTTATCAGGTTAGTGAGTTAAATATTTCAAAATTACACTTTACATTTTATGAAATGCGAAACTAAAATTAGGGAGAAAAAAAGTGACAGACACTTTCAAGATTATAGTGAGCATTTTGTAATAAAATGATGGGCACTCATAAAAATGAATTTCAAAAGCCGTACGAAGTCAAACAGTATTGTTGAATGCAAAGGGCTTGTTACCGATGGTTTATTAACCTTCAGTCATTTAATAAACCTAAACATTTTACACACACAAAATTTATACCAACATTATACACAATCTCCTATAGCATCGAAAACCGAACAGAAACTGCATGATTCTGAAACTAGTTCAATAAAATAACATGGGTCAAAGTATTGCCGGGAGTACGGCGTTTTTATCGTAATCGGAGTTTACTCGTAACACAGAAAACATAAATTTAAAAAAAAATTACTCACAAATCACGGAAAAGAAAATCGAGAACTTCCAGACATTCTTGTTTCATTTGAAGTGTATACAATTGTCCTTGCGATTGTAACCTAATTTGCTACCAACTCAGTATATTGTTCTGCGATACTAGTTTAACGCCATTCATATTTTTCTCTTCCATACAAGTTACAAATTTATCGTGCACTTTTTCGTAATTTTCAGCTGATTTCCTAGGTATTAGCGACAATTCTGCCTTAGCAATTTTATTAATTATAGCCTCTGGTGATTCCCCTGGTAAATACATTTCACAACAAACAATTAAATGCCCTGGCCAACCACGCCTGCCCCTATTACAGTCGGCCTTGGCCTACATTATGTATGTAACATACCTTTCTACTTCAGATTCAGTGACCATTTTACCCTTGTAATAATTTGATAATTATGTTATACAAATAAAAGCGTATGCAATTCGTTTATGTTACTTTTTTGCACCGATAAGAACAGCAACATTTACTCCGTCGTTCATGCGGATCTTCTTAATCGTGCAAAAAAGAACGACATAAACTAATGGCAAAATATACTATTCGTCGGAATACCTTTCCTTCTCAGTCTTCTAAGGAAAGGCATGATTTTGCGAAATACATTTTGACACATTTGGTAGAACACACCGTATTCCTAAAATTCAATGTGTTTCAACTGGAAGCGCAGCCCTGAAGAAAATACTTCCGTGGACTTCTGGAGGAAACAGACATGCTACTGCTTCTTTCCATCTTTTAAATGCTCATAGAAGTGCTCGCCTGAAAGAAGTCATTATTTCTTTCACCTCCTATGAGTTTAAACCTTGGAAGTATGAATATGACATTGTTTGAGCAGAACAGGACAGGACAGGACAGGACAGGACAGGACAGGACAGGATCTTGAGTGTCTTGCGCTTGGTACGCCTGTCTCTAATGAGACTCTGTCCATGTTTTATTTCTCTGTCTGGTGGTCTGCTGGTTTGTTGCGACCCCTCTCCCCCGTACAGGGACGGGGACAGGGAGCCGGGGTAGGGAAGTGACGGGTAGTTTTTGTTAGGGGGTTTGAGGGTGGGGGAAAGGGAGAGGAATGGATTTAGGAGGGAAATGGGATATAGGAAATATCAGGAATATTTAGTGGTTATCTTCGGTTCGGGTCAGTATTGGTTCTTTGGTTTAAGTCGTCTTTGTCGGTTCTTTCTGTTTCCACCCTTTGGCCTAGGTTATGGGAGGGGGATGTTGCAGAATGTCGAGGAGGTGTTTTTTCGTAGTGTGTCGGGGGGATTTCTGAGGATATGGTGGTGAGATAGGATTAGGTTTCTGAACTCAGGATTGGTGATGAACTTTTGTAGGGTTTATACTGAGGAGTTGTAAAGGTGGGTAAGGATATGGGGCATTTTGTGTTGTTCTCGTACGTCATTGAAGCGGGTTAACGTAGGACAGTAGATAAGACGGATTACTCTGCTTTCGGTGACGGTTAGTTTTCTGTAATTGATGATGGATGTGTTGAACCATGTGGGATGGGCGTAAGAAAGAGTTGGGCGGATATAAGTATTGTAAGCTTGGATTTTCTTTTGGATGGGGATGGACGGATTAGTCAGGATAGAGTAAAGGGCGTTTGTGATTCGGTTGGTTTTTATTATGATGTTGAGGACTTGTTGGGACCAAAGGAGTCTGTGGGAAAGGGTAATGCCAAGATATTTGACATGGGGTTGCCAGGGGAATATTTGTGCAGAATCGACGTTTGTTTTCGGTTCTGAGAAGGTAAAATCATACGATAACGAAGATTATAAACGTTGCTACATTACTCCAAGAGCAGATTTCAAATAAAAATAGACAAATTGACTTAAATTCTTAATAAGAGGACATCTCCGCTAACGAATCTACAACGTTTCGACGCACAGACGACACGCGGAGCACACCACTAACTATTGAAGAGTACCTACGCTCACTGCGGGGCCACATTCAATTCATCATCCGGGGTTGCAAACTTAAATGCACAAATGACACAGAGATTACCTGCAGAGGGCCTCCCTCTTGTTTGAAAATCTTATTATTGTTCCCCTTGCAGTTGCTGTGCCCATCACTATACTGGTGCCCACAACTGTAACCGTTACCCGCAGTAAAAAATAAATTGAAACACAACAAAAAAGCTTTACTTTCGGTTATGAATTCTGAATTTAATTTGGCTTAACACCGAGTGAATAAAGAAGAGAGATGAGATTGAATTTCCTCCCTTTCTTCAGTTTTACCATGAAAAACGCAATTCCTTGAATACTGACAATGACTCCCAAATTGCAGGAGTATCACAAATTGTGCGAAGCCAAAGAGTATACACCGATAGCTTTCTGTGGAATTCTGAGAGATCGTATCTGGTTTCTTCTATTTTGCTAGAATCTTCTAAAACACGCTCCACCGAAAAAACAAAATATATTCCATTATCTTGAGTAAAAAAAGCAAAAACTATTGTGAAAATTGATGAAATATTTATTTAAATACGAACATTTTTATTTAAATACAGATGTCTTTAATTCTCTGTCGGCGAAAGCACGGGGGGGGGCGCTTACGAGGCCATACAGAACATAGCAACAGTGGTGGATAATAGACGGTTTTCACGCGCGATTAGGAATTGAATTTAAACTTTGTTACGACCGCCAAATAAAATATAAATGTCTCCTACCATCAGAATTAGTTGGCGATGCACCTAACTGCAGCTATCTGCACCTAACAATAAAGAGAGGTAAGAATTTGGGGAAGGAAGAATGCAGAAGCAAGATCATGTCTGCCAAGCTAGACAAGTCATGGTTGGCGCACGGACCGCTGTCACATTTGCTAATTCAGTTGGATTCTTGAATACTTTCCAGTTTTGAATATTTTCTTCACAATCTAACATATTAAATTATTATACAATAAAATATCCAAATTTTATAAAATAATTTAAAGTTTTAAAATATTTAAAAAAAATATAGTCTTAATTTAACACTGAAAAAATAATTTATTTGCCAAGATTAAAAAAAATATCAGCTTTACGTTACACTAAATCACCCCCCAACAACGCAGCTTAACGTTTTCTAGAACCCCTTTCCCCTTCTTTTGGCGTTACGTAATTTATGGACGACTCCTAGAGCTATTTTTCAAGAAGCTTCATTTTCGATGTTTGTAAATAATCTGTTTTTACATTCATTTGTATACAAATATACATCATCTATACAAATACTGTGAAGAGAACGATTTTGATGCTCCTTCTATCCGGCTCCCAGTAAATGATTTTAAGCAAGTGAGGTTCGAAAAAAAAACATAGGCGGGGAGGTCACTCTGTATTAAATAGATCACAGCTTTCCTTTATTAATAAAAAGTTAGGAAATTTGCATTGTTTGAAATGCGCGGCTAGAATGGAATGGAAGTTGGCGTCGCAATTTGCGCCTGCCGCGCGGGAAATGCATTAGCAGTTTCTCTTGCAGAGAACATCTTTTTGTGTGATCGTTAAAACGAGTGTTTGTGACTATCCATTATCAAAGTAACATAGCCGCCGCCTAAAACATACGGAGTACAGGGGGTCAGGAGTACGTCACTTTCGTGATGACGTCCGACACAGAATCCCCCTTTACTTGTCGTAAAAGTTCCACGACAAAATTAGACGTTTGTAGATTATGAAATAAGTAAAACAGAGGGTGCGCATGCAACGCACTCCACCCGGCAACACACCGCGACCGTGCGTGACAGGAAACCGACATGTAGGTTTTTAAACCCACGTTTTCGAATCCACACGAGAGAACAACAGAATATTTATAATTATTTGGGATCGGATTTTTAAGTAAATACTTTTTTTATAGGAACAAGATACTTGTCTTCAATATTTTTTAGAGTTTAAATGACATCCTTAATGAATATGAACTATTTATATTTTACATATTGTAGTATAATTACAGATTTTTACATATTTCGCCTGTTACCACATATTTCATTTCATTTAAATATATTTACACGTCGAAACGAAACATTTCATATGTGGGTTTGACACGTGTTACTGGAATCATCTTCCTTATAAAGCAATGTAATCCTTC